CTTCGTATTTTTGTTCGGCATTTTTTTCTCTCATATTTAATTTGTTTGCATTTGGTGTTCTTTTTCAGAATCGTATTGAGTATAATAGATGATCATGGCAATTCTTTAGAATTCTAAGACATGGATGAATCAATTTTAAATCATTTGTTTCTGCCACACTATCTACCGTCTTCTGCTGACGATGATTTTTTAATTAAAAACAATCATCAATATGAGCACAAAATATTGGAATGCATGAAAGAATATTTGAATTCATTTGTATCGACTGATGTAACAAATATATTACCTGTCTTTCGAATTCTTATAGATTGTGTCGAACGTTGGTCCATATTACAGAATCTCCAAAACATCTTCGTATCGAATCTGCAATCTACTATCGAGCAATTACCATCAGGAACATTCTTTTCTCTTTATTTTCATGCTCAAAATGCTGCAGTCTTAATTGAAATAGATGAAAACAACGTCAATCAACCATTAATTTCAGCTTGGCAAGTCTTATTACCAACTACAGAAATAACTTCTTCTCTTTCACTACATCTTTCTTGTTTTCCTATAACAACAAACAGATTGCAGAATCGATCTCAACTGAGTTCCACAGCTCATTGTGAATTATTAATAGATTTTATGAACAATACCGTTGAATATTCTAAAGCTTCTAAAGCTTCTCGCGAAGTTGCTGAAATACGTGACGTACCGGAATCACATTATGTATGTCAGTGGTGGATTCAACAGTTTCAAGGAGTAGAAATCGAAAACAATTGCAAGACGTTCTGTCAATTTAAGAAAAAACATCGTGATCAGATTAGATGGAATAATGCATTGTTACCATTTCGACGTTCGGGTTTATGGATGACTATCAAAGTAGCCTTTCAAACAATTCTAACCAAACATTTGGGAAACGTTGGTACTCTCGTTTATAAATTATTAATCACTCATTTTCTTACACATGTTATTTTCATGAGACCAAGTTCGACTGATTTATTAGTTCATTGCATTCGCAAAATCGTACGACGATTGGATAAAATTGAAGGTTTAATTTCGTCTACAAATTTGAATGATCTGAACAAATGGGTCCAACATACCAAACAAGAAATACAAATGAAGATTGATCAGATTCTTCCAAAGCCCGATTGGCAGAAACTTATGCAGACTGAAGAAGAAACCAATCAAAAACTGTTCATGAATAAGTTTAAACTAGACAATTCTGACATTTATCAACATTTGTGTCTAGAATTAACAGCTTATTTGAATAATCAGAATTCGAACGAAACATCTGGTCTTTTTTCAGGTGTCAATAATTATGACGATTTCACTAATGTTAATCAAACAGACCATATACCATCTTATGATGTGCTAACAAAAAAATGGAATTATACTATTGGAATATCCTTGACACGTATGGACATTTGGGTTGAATCATGTTTAGAACAATGGATCAATCATCCATCACTATTCATAAATGGAAAGAATCGTTTTGAAATTTTATTACGCTTCTATGAAGATTATCAGAGCGTAGCACTCAATCATTATTATTCCGAAAAAGGTCCAACAGATCCAATGGGTTATAGTCGATTCATTTTAACGTCTTTAACGATTATTCGTTCTATGCACCGAAAGCTATGTAGTGATCCAAGATTTGAGCGACTAAAACTACATTCTATTCATATTCCTAATCTTATGAATCTGTTCGAATTTTTGATCTTACCAAATCAAGAAGATATGATTAGAGCGCGTAGTCTATATAATTATTTTAGTGAATTCAATCAAAAACAATATCCTGATATTTTAACAAATATAGAGTCTGAGAATGCATTTGGTGTATATTTCGCCAATCAAATACCGGGGATGAACGAAAGTATACGGGAAATTAGGGCTCAGGCTGAACGAGATAAACAACAAAAAATAATAGAAGTAAATAATGCCAAAGAAAGATATAGGCAACTTATGAATTCAATAAGTGGTCGTTCTTGTCAATGCTATTACAATGAATATAATAATTTTGAGACATGTTACAGATGTCGAATTCAGCAACAAGCGAACGACATTCAAGTACGCATTTATGAATGTCCATTACCATTGAAACAAGAAAGGGCATTAGCTGTTATTTTTGAATTACAAATGCCCATTGAAATTAGAAATTATCGTGATATCATCTGGCAATTTGCGAATCGTCCTAATCCACACCCACAGCATAATATGTATGAATGGTTAAGTGTCCCTCCTCATGCCAGCAAACTAGGACCCTACTATACTGGTCCAAATAACACCAAAGTGAAATTAGTATCTCCCACTAAATCTGTGACACAAACTCACTATTCGTCTCCATCAATCGCTTCTGCATCTGTCAACGACTTTTTATACGAAAATAGTCTTCAAGTTCAAATCTCACCAACTAAACCAATTAGTTTTGAAGATGAATGTCGTATATTAACGCCTCAGCTTGACCATTCAGACTATAAACAGTTACAGTTTACTGTAAATACTACGCAATTTGTGCAAAATCACGTTATTGCTAAACTGTCTGATTGTCCACCACGACTAAAATCCACACAATTTGTGGAGTTCGGTTCATTTCGATCAGGACATCGTTTACAATGGTGGAATCTCTTAACGATTTTTGAAATGGACTCCTTGTCCATTGCTGAGGAAAGTGTTGTAATATTGATTATACATTCGATATTACAATATGGTCCATTGACAGCAGATTCGAGGATCTTGTCTAATACTTGGTGTCCTGAATCGCATGAACAGTTATTAGAAGATCATTTTGTCGATGAATTAGTCTCAAGATTAGATCATCATTTAGATGATTGTGAATTGAATTGGCAAAATGAATTGGTATTAGTGGTCATTACAATGATTACAATGAGACTGTTAACTATTTGCAAATCAACAAGAGTAGACCAAACTGCTGATTTAGCTATGAAATGTCGTAGAGTTGGTGAAAAATGGATTAATCTTATTACAGAAAGTATTCAAACAATATCTTCATCAGCTTTTCATGAGATGGAAAAACTTCGTCTTAAAATGGTAAATGTCGGCATTTCTTGTCTCTTAACATTTTCAACTCACAAAGGCCGAATTAGTTGTTTATTATCATCGAATGAACATATCATATCCTTACTGAAAGCAGCAGCTACAGTTCACGATAATATTATTCTAAATAAGAATCAATCTAATATGAGTATTTTTATGAAAAATATGATGACACTTAGTGAACGTATCTTAGTAATGATACAGCCAACACTTGCTGAGTTTCTTCAGAAAACGTCCTATCAAAGTTTAAATGAGTTTGCCGCGATTTACTGGGCAGTTATCAAAAGGAAAGGTAATATGAATGGAGAATGGCAAAAACGAAAAAAAGATTCCCATGATGGATGGTATGATTGTCGATATGAATCGAAATATATATCAATTGATTGCATCCGAGGAACGTTTCTAGTGGATGATATGACCATAGGATTTTTACCTGAAAAAATCACGACCAATGAATTATTCGTACGCGTATTTGGTTATCATATTTTTGAAGCTCAAGCGGCTGAGGCACCTAACACTTACATTACCAAACATTTATATCATGGTGATGGAAGAGTTCAATATGAATTTCATTTCAATGATCAGACTAATCGATTGACAATTAATGAACGACACATACACAAAGATGAGATGTTTCAATTGATTCCTCATAAATGTTTCCAGACTGAATTACCGGATACGTTTGTCTCCGATCATAGTCATTGGTGGAATGCAAAAGACCAAATAGTCGAATTTCGACCCGTTCATTTTAAAGATGCCGATTTTTTAGATAACAAACCTTACGTGCTATCGTTAACGACCGGGCATATTACTACTACCGAAGCAATTAATAGACAAATTTTAGTTAATCAATCATCAACATTCTTTGACAGTATGTTCAACCGATATTTCATTCGCCTCGACGATAAGCCTTATGTCTATATGATGCGAGATAACTCATCTTCAACTGATATAATCATTCACATTCGTTTATCACGATTAGGGATTGCTTTCAAATATAACGGTAATAGCAACATCATAACATCTCGTGAATATTCAGACATGTGTATTGACGAAAATCAATGGTTGGGGACATTAACGGGTTTGCAATCTGGTCTTGTTTTGTCACCATCATCCGTAAATAATCAAAAACTGGAACATTATCCGTATCGAAAATTGATCGTCCCTTTTGGACAGCTGCATGCTCAAAAGACATCAGACTATACCCATCAAACTGTAATTATACAACGAATATCCGAATCGAAAGACTTTCTTCGTCATTATTTTGTTTTTATTATGAACGATCGATTGCGGATTCTTCAATCGACTGACAGTCCCACAGGATGGCTATATTTAGCATTATTACATGCCATGACTTCTCATCCCTTACCAGATCAATATACTGGAATGACTGGAATGGAGCGTGCTTTCCAGTTATTAAATTCGGCCGGTTGTTGGTCTGATCAACCTTTCGATGCACTTTCTCTGAATATTTTAGCTCAAATTGCTGCTATTTCACCGAAGGTCAATTACTACCCAGAACATCTCACTTGTATGGAAAAAATAGAGTGGCATTCGAATGGTTTACCTTATTCAATGCAACATTTCAGTTATTATTTGATAGCAAAAAGATTAATTGAAACTAGTCAACAACTGAATTTTATGTATACAACATCTGTTGCCGCTGAGGTACCGAAATTATTTGAAGGAAAATTATATAATGAAAGATTGTTGAAAAAACTCTATTGGGATTATCGAGATTCGTACAATCCTTTAGCTAGATTATCTACACAGATGGAAGCAGATATTCCACGTTATAAAAAATCATATCAGTCGCCTGTAGAGCATTGCTCGCACGAGACGAACTACGGTGTTGTTCGTCTCGTAGATGATCTATATAATAATGGAAATGTCAGTCTTAAAGACTGTTCGAAACAACACTGGTTACCTTTGTCTCAATGGCTAACTGATGAAAATCAACTGAAAACTACTTGGATTGGTTTATTAAAAATGGTTGATTATCTCAAGACATCGACCACTGATAACAGAAGAGACGAAATCAAACGATTTGAAATGTTAATAGACTTTCTTCATTATATCTTCAACAAACTTCAAATTAAACCGTTTTATTTACAAATGCTAAAAACAGCATTGAAAATGCCTACTATATTATCGACATTTGTTACATTTCCTCAATTTATTTGTTACCAAAACATTGAAGAAATTTCTGTTGTACGAGGACGTATCAACTTATCAAGTTACTACAATTCATACAAACGAAATCAAATTATAGCACAAATCGAGAATTGTTTCTGGACAGATTCGAATTATGAAGATAGAAATGAATTGACAACATCTACTGAAAAAGCTCAGATCAACCAGTTATTAAAGTTTTGGCAAAATAATAGAAAACTTCGATCTTTTTTAGAATCCGTTCAAAGTCGCATCTGTTCTGTTACAATAGAAAAGTTCGATATCAAAATATCATATTATCCTCAGCAATTTGCCCTCGAATTATTCCAAGATCACCATCGAATACAAATCAGATCTGCTAACAAATCAATTGATCAAGAACTATTACGAAGTACAGAACAAAAATTTCATCATTCTTATTCAGGACATTTTAATAAACCAACAGTATCTGCTCAAACTGCGGATCAAAAGAATGCATTTCCACAAGCAATTTTTCCTTCCATCAACAATCAAGATAATCCTCTCAGTGAAATTACCAATTATTTTCAAAATCAATTAGCTGAAAGTTGGAACAAACTTCTGTTAGATAAACACACTCAAAAAGAAGATCCTTCAATTGAAGAAATTGCCGAATTTCTCAAGTCTTTACAAGAGGAATCTACAAAGTTCTGGAATGAATTCGTCGAACCCATCAGATTATCTAATGAACGATTATTTAACATAGGCTTAGTAACAAGAATTACACCAGCAACTGTCATGTCTGTTTTCCAAGAACAAATAGTAAACTCTGTCAAATCTTTATCATTTGTATTGACTACAGATCAACGCACATTACTTGGTGGTATTCTTGTCAATTGGACATTAGAACAACAACTAGAAAGAGCTTTGCATTTTGCCATTCATGATAAATGGGAAGATTTTAAAAAAGAAATATCACATAGACCGCATTCGAATTGGATACCATCCGAACATGTTCCTTGGCTAATCTTAGAATTAGAAATGAATATAACTATTAGAGAAATTCAAATCAAAGTAGCAAATCATATGATGAAACCAAATATGACAACAGATAATTCAACAGTAAAAAGCATAGTAATGCAAATGAATATGGGTGAAGGAAAAACATCAGTCATTTTGCCAATGTTAGCTCTTAGTCTATGTTCATCTTCTTCAAGTTTGGTTCGTATTGTAGTACTTAAATCATTATTTCCAGTGAATTATCAATCATTACGATATAAATTAGGTGGTTTACTTAATCGACGAGTGTTACCATTTGCATGTCGTCGGGATATGAATTTCACCAATGAACAAATAAAACAAATTTTCAACCGTCTCCAACAAGGATTACACAGTTGTGATGTGATATTAACTTCCCCAGAAGATATTCTTTCTTTTGATTTATTGACCATAGATAAATGCCGACGAAATGAATTTGATACTAGTCGTTCGATGTTAACGATTCAACGATGGTTAAAAACGTATGCTCGTGATGTGTTGGATGAATCTGATGAAATATTACATGTTAAATATCAATTGATTTATACAGTTGGTGGTCAACAACAAGTTGATGGTGGTGCAGAACGTTGGAAAACCATTCAATCAATACTTGAATTAGTCAAAAAACATGCTGCCGGTATCTCAAAATGTTTCAGTAAGGAAGTTTGTTATAAATCAGCTGAACGAAAAAGTGCTTTTCCACAATTTCGTTTGCAATCACATCAACCATTTCCACAATTATGTCAAAATATCGCTAATGATTGGATCAATAATAGAAATTATCGACATGCGGATAAACAAATCATCTTATCATTTATTTTAAAAACAAATTCATCAGTTGAGAATTTGAATAATAAATTTTCAGATAATGATATTCAATTATTTCTCATTATTCGTGGTTTATTATCATCAGAAGTTTTATTAATTGCTTTTAAGAAACGATATCGAGTTAATTATGGTGTTAATCCAAATATTTATTTTAATCGTTTAATGGCTGTACCATTTCGTGCAAAAGATATTGTAGCTGATAGAACTGAATTTGGCCATCCTGATGTTGCTTTAGTATTAACACATCTTTCCTATTATTATTCTGGTTTAAATGATGAACAATTAACTCAATGTTTCAATCGTTTAATTGCAGAAGAAACTGATCCTGCATCGATTTATGATCAATGGATTTTATATGAAAAAGACGATGATATACCGACTAATATCAAACAATGGAAAGGAGTTAATTTAATAGATTATCAACAAAGAACTCAGTATATTTTCACAACTTTTCGATATAATATTTTAGTTATTAATTATTTTCTAAATTATTTTGTATTTCCTCGAGAAGCAAAACAATTTCCACATAAATTAATTTCATCTGCCTGGGATTTATCTTCATCTGTACGATCGAAAATAATAACTGGATTTAGTGGAACTAATGATACACAATTATTACTTCCTATTCATATTCTTCAATATGATTTGTCTGAACTTCAGAAAACTGATGCAATCGTTGTAAATAATTTATTACAAGCTGAAAATGAAAATTATCAATTTTTACCAATCAATGCGACTTCGAATGAAATTTTAAATCAAATTGTTAAGCATAAAGAAAGGATCAATGTCATTTTAGATGTTGGAGCATTGTTCATTGATGGAAATAATCAGGATATTGCTATTAAATGGTTGCATTTATCCGATAAAAATAAAATTGATTATGCAGTTTATTTTGATTCAGACTCAATTATTGTTTGTGATCGTCAATTTCATCATCATCGATTTGAAATATCTCCTGCGAGTGAACGATTAGATCGTTGTGTTTTTTATTTAGATGAGATTCATACAAGAGGGACTGATTTTAAATTTCCGAAGGGATTTCGAGCTGCATTAACATTGGGAAATGGTTTAACAAAAGATCGTTTTGTTCAAGCAGCAATGAGAATGAGAAAATTAGGAAATGGTCATTCATTAACATTTTGGAGTTCATATGAAGTTCATCAACAAATTACACAATTGAAAAAAAATTCATCTCAAGAAAATATCAATAATTTCATTACCTTAATCGATATTCTTCGTTGGGTATATGAGAATACAGTACATTCGACTTGGAATGGATTACATCATTGGGCTGCACAAAGTTTAAGTTTCCAACGAAAAGTTGCAGCATTTCGAAACATTCTATGGACTGATCACCATCAATTGTTTACTGATACAATGATGGAAGAATTAGCTAGAGAATGTTTAGAACCTGAAATAATTGGATTAATACGCATGTATGGTGCACCTAAAGTACTACAAACACTTTTCGAGATTCATTCTGCTCGATATGAACTGAACAATGATTATCTATCAAGAGAAATTCAAGAGAACGTATTAAAACGATTGAAAGATTATGGAGGAACAAAACAACGTCTGTCACAATTGTTAGATGAAGAACAACAACGAGAATTAGAACAAGAATTAGAAGAAGAAAGACAATTGGCACGTCCTCCACCTGTCAAACCATGTCAACCAATTTTACACGAACGAATTAAAAGATTGTGTGATACACATTCTAATATGATGAACTTACTTCAATTTCCTTTAGTATTTCATCCTTTAGTATATGCTTTCAATGATACTACATTTTACAGTGAATGTCAACCAAACAGTTGGCATCACAATTTTTGGGTTTCGACTGAATTTCAACGTGTCATTGCGACCAAAGGTGAATCACGAAATCCATTTCTACGACCTCCACGATGGATTGTCGTGTACCGAAATCAACATATTATATTTATTAGCGCTTTTGAGGCTAATTGGTTGATTGGTCGCTTGCGTTCCAACAGTTCACCAATCACCACATTACGCCTACTGCTACCTCGAGTGAAGAGAGTTCAATCAATTTTTGCCAATACTCCAACTCTGACGATTCCTCCATCAATTAGACTTTCAAATAATGTTGCTCCTTTCATTATATCATTCGAATGGTTAGCTCAATTATTTATATTTAATGGCACTCTTTATTTTGAAACTGTTGATGAGCAAACAGCTTATTGTCAATGTTTAGGCTTATGTCCTAAACCTCGAACAACTGTGAAAAAAGAAGCCTTTGAAAAAGGTTGGATTGGTGTCGATGGATTTGTGAGCAACCCAGTTCATCGTCACCATTTGCAAATTAATCAAGCTCGATTTGCTTTCAATCCATTAACATTTGTCAAACAAATTATTGAAAATCGAACTAATTCGCATGCACCGATATCATCACATGTTGGAAGTATTATTTTTAATTCATTCAAGCTTATTTAACGATATTTAGATATCATTGGACATAAAAATATTCAATGAAAACACTAACACATTTTTTTTCCTATTTGAATTAAGTCCTAAAAACAGTATACCAGAGTTTACTAACAAATAAAATGACAAGACGAAATCAATTAACTATTTGTCTGTATTTATTGTATCGTGTGGACTATGAAATCTAAATAATATCGTGAGACCGATCTTATAAAAGAAGCAGTCAAAAAGGCAGAAAAATCTCTATAAGTTAAGGATAAAGTGACGTTTAGGGGCTGAGATTGAGAGTCCAAAGAAAACACTCATTCTCTTTTTCAACAAGAAAACTTTCTAAAAATGGCATTATCATCTCATGTTGTTTCTGCTTGACATGAATGTTTTAACATCGATTCCAAATTTATTGTAAAAAAAAATTAATTGTGCTTAGAGAGAATACGTATGAATTTGATTGTAAAACAACACGAAACTGTGTGTGTTTATCTTCGAATAGATGACATTTTTTAATGAACAAATGTTTACATACAATCAATTAAGTGGTCGTTAACTTCATTAGTTTTCTTTTTCAAATTAATGACGAAATACTTTTCAGAATCCTATCCACATTGAAAATTTATAAATCTTACTTATGTTTTCAATACTCTAGAGAAGAGGGTGTGGGTGTGGGTGTGGGGTGGGTGTGGGGCGTGGATGTGTGTGGGTGTGGGGTATGGGTGTGGAACTTCCTCTCTCACACCCACCCACACCCACCCACACCCACACCCACACCCACACCCACACCCACACTCACCCACACCCACACTCACCCACACCCACACCCCACACCCACACCCTCCTTGAGGATCTCCGCGGATCTTTTAGGATCTCCGCGGATCCTTGAGAATCTTCGCGGATCTTTTAGGATCTTCGAGGATCCTAGAGGATCCTGAAGGATCTCAATTTCCACCTCACGCAAACTGAGATCTTCGAGGATCCTTAAGGATCTCAATTCTCTCCCGACACAAACTGAGATCATCAAGGATCCTTAAGGATCTCAATTTTCCCTCCCACTTAAATTGAGATCCTTAAGGATCCTCGAAGATCTCAATTTAAGTGGTGGAGTAGTGAGATCTTCGAGGGTCCTTAAGGATCTCAATTCTCTCCCCTCACACAAACTGAGATCATTGAGATCTTCAAGGATCCTCGAAGATCTCAATTTGAATGGGTCAATATAGGTGGTTCTGCGTCTTTCCTTTAGGATATGATGGATTCCTGGGTAGGTTCCTTACAGTTCCTTTTGAGATCTCGGTTATTCCCTTGTGGATTCCGGACGCGGGAAAATGTGTGAATTGGTCATTTCCGGGTACGAGAATTTTCCGGCCAGAATACTGCTTCCATGTTCCGGAAATTTTTCCTGCGGGATCCGGCAGGAAAAACGTTGGAACCGGTGGGAATTCGCCGGAAAAAAGAGCGGTTCCTGCTGGCTCCAAAAGGATCCTGAGCCCGGAATCATTGACCTGGGAATATATGTCGATGTGCGAAAGAGAGCGATGAAGGAAGAAAAAAACATGGAATAAATGAGAAAAAGGGCGAGAGAGAGAGAGAGAGAGAACTATCGCGTGCTTATATAAGTGTATGAATGACACAACGAATATGAAAATTTCGAACGCACGCTTATTGGCATAACCCGTCATATTCATCGTACATTTTCACAGTCACAAAATCACGTCATGTCACTTCAACAACAGATCCAAAATAAAAGCGAACAATTTCAAGCTCTTTTCGATCGTTTATCTGATACGCAATCGAGCGAAGCTGCACTATCAGAAGCCCGGTCATACTTAATATCTTGCCAAAATCGAGCTCGTCTTATACAAGAGAAGATTGATACGTTCAATGCAGCAGCCGAAAAGGAGCACAAACGTTTAGTCGACATCCAAGGACATGGCGTCAAACATATTTGGTACAAGCTTCGAGGTCAACTCAAACAACGCTTAGATGAACAAGAAAAGAAATGGTTGAGCGAGTTTGAAAAGTGTAAAGAAGAAGAACAACGCTTAGTTGCTGTGCAAGAACAAATTAGCTCTACTCAGAATCATTTACATCTATGTGAAATCGCCTATGAAGAGTATCTAAAGACCAAGCGAACATTAGATAAACTCTTTGAACATTTCTTTGCTGATGTTACACCTTCATATCCGGATGAAGATACAATGGAACAAAACTTGAAAAGAGAAAAAGAGTGTCTCATCACCCTGCAGAACAATCACCGCAATTTAACGCACATCTTTCATCTACTGCAAAAAGCTCATCGAGCTGTCATTGTCGCCCGACGGGCACTCAATGACGCACTGGACATGAACACTATCGATTTATTTACTAATTCTGGAGTTGTCGACATATTCGTGAGTTCTGACTTGGCTAAAGCTAGAAATGCCGCAACTCAAGCACAACAGTTCATCAACGAAGCCAGTCGTTTGTACCCACATATGGCATACGTCGGTGATCTACATATCGAGCAAGATAACCTTATTTTTAATATGTTATTTGACAATATTTGGACTGATTTGAATATGCGAAAAAAGATTCGCGAAGCATTGGATCGTATCTCTCGGGCAGATGCAGTTTTGGCGCGTATGTTATTAGAAATTCGACAAAAGTTAGATAAATGCGAAGCTGATCGTGAGCAGACGAGCAAAAATGTGAAACAGTTGGCCGAGGAACATTTTAATGCACGAATCGCTATTGTTCGAAATATTATAAAACCACAGCCTTCATATTCTGCTGTGTAATATAAACCCCTCCACAGAATAGAAGCCCATCCTATAATAGAGGCCCATCCGGAATAGAAGCCCAGTCTCAAGCTTATAACTTTTCGGACGTATTAGAAGCCCACCCCATCCAAAATGAGCACAAAATAAACAATTTAAAAAATTAGTTAGATTAGCCCATTGCTTCTTACTACTTTCTTGTAACTGAGTTTATATGGCTAATCTTCTTTACGTCGCATATTTTCATCAACAGACGAATGAATGTGTTTCGAGCATTAAAAGCTTTTTACCCATATGTATTAATAAAACATAGTTGTCCAAAAGCTATTGAATAGAAATTACGACATACATAAAGTTGGTGGAAACAAATAATGTCGAAAGAAAAAATATTGAAAGAATTATTAATGCACCTTTAGCAAACAGTAATCATATGCAAATCCAGGACATTGATCCTTCTGCAAACTATTCAGGCGGTGTTAATGGGCAAGTGTGCTGAAGCTGCACTAATAATACTTCTGATATATTTTCTTTCGATAGTTTTTACTTTTGGCGTTTTTTATTTCTACGAAATTTATACTGTTCACAATTACGCATGCAATAATACCGTTCTGTTAGGTTTCTTCCTCTTATAAGATTATGTATCACTCTGAGACGAAACTTTAAGGTTTTTTTTATTAACTTAGTAGCAATATGCACAACTATCTGATTGAAGGATGATACTTCTAAGGAAGCCAACCTATGACCAATACGAATTACGCGATAACTGATTAGATTTAAAAGCACATGCCAGTCTGAAATGATACAATATCAGTTATTATAACACTTCTTAGATTTGAATTATCTATCTCTCAAGAAGTAGAAGTCCTGCATTGTATAGTCACAGGTTTATTTGATATTTCTGCGGTGACAATTAAAATATATTTTGCTTCATATTTGAACTGGGTATAAGCTATCGTGATGACATGCTCTAGTAGAACTATACCGATGTATGTCTAATAGAAGTCTCTTTTAAATTCCTTCAAAACTCGAAATGTTCCAAATCAACATTTAATATTAAAGGTAATTTTTCGTATTCATAGCAAGATCCACGAAATCCTAAAGATAGATAAGTATATAAATGTAAAACATCATGTAAATAGTGTACTACTTTGTCGATTTGATAATATACAACAGAGAAAGAACTGCCAACTTGTCTTGAATCCTAAGGAGTTGTGACAGGTACGCTAAAGATTGTCTGACAACTTGATAATTTCGATTTGTAAATTTTGAAGAACTTTTGTGCCTGTAAGTCAATTGAATTTTAGCTGCCGTATGAAAAACTTTGATCGCAATAAAAGCCCATGTCCGAACTGATGATTTTCCAAACAAATTAGAAGCCCACTGGGCTTCTATTCTGTAGGGGGGTTTAATCAATTCACTTCGACTATGATTACTTTTAGTCGTTGCTATCATTTACTCTCGTATTCTTCTAATGTTGATGTAAGTTTTTCGTAGATTTGTGTACATCCGTGTTCTTTTTCTGAGATGAATATATGTGCATTATGTTCTTTATTAGAGCTACTCTGTCTTCGAATCTATTCTAGTAACATTCAACTGACAGAAATGTGCATATAGACATATGTATGTGTTGATGTTCTCGATCCTGCAAGAATGTATCTCCATCCTTTTTTTTCATATTCTAATTAATTGTTAACGACTCATACGCTGACTAAATGAATGCAACAGTGAAAAAAGTGGGTATGGGTGTGGGGTGTGTGGGTGTGGGTAGGCGTGGGTGTGAGTAGGTGTGGGTGTGAATGTGGGTGTGAGGTGTGGATGTGGATGTGGGTATGTGGTGGTGTGGGTCTGGGTGTGGGTGGGTGTGGGGTGTGGTGCCGGAGTGTACTAGTCCTTTATAGCTACACTCACACCCTCACCCGTACCCATACCCACCCACCCACACTCACACCCACCCACACTCACACCCACCCACCCACCCACCCACGCCCACACCCACACCCACCCACCCACGCCCACACCCACACCCAC